ATGACTAACAAATGAAGAAATATTTAAAAAAATAGGTTTTTAACTCTTATGAATATTAATATTGAATGTGCAATTATTGCAATTACCAAAACTTAAGGTTTTGGCCTTTTCCAGCACAGAGTTTGAAAAATGTTGTGATATTACTTCTGTAACCCTATTTTGAGCTTCGAGTGGTATGGATTTGGCCTTTTCAAGTAAAGAGGTTGATATATTTTGTGTAACTCTAGTTTCACTGTCGAGTGGTTCCACTAATTCTTCATTAGAGTTGTCAACGGTAAAATTGTAGCTTTATTTGGAAGTAGATGGCATACTGTCATCCATCAAAATTTTATTAGAAATTTTGTTTTTTTGTGTTATTGAGCTGTCTACGTAGCCTTCTGCAACAGCAGATGATTTCCATCCTCCATGTTTTTTGACCGTTAGAAGGTCTCCTCCAGAATTTGCCAGCATAGTGGCTGAATACCTCCTAAAGCAGTGTCCTGTAAAAGCCGTTGGATTGGGCAAGTTTAGATACGTTGCTATAACACTTGGCATTTTACCAAAATTATTTATCCCTACAGGCTGTTTAGAATATTTTCCATTTGCGAATTTTAAAAAAAATCTGTTACAATTTATATTTGATGGTCTTAATGAGGTATATTTTTTTATGAAAGATAAATAATCAACTGCAGAATTATTTGGATTGAAAATCGTAAAAATGCGTTCTATTCCATTTTTGGTTTCTGATACTTTGACAATATACACTGTTTGTTTATCTTCCACATCGTTAATTGTCATTTTACATAATTCTTCCCGGCGACAAGCTCCCGCAATTCCAATTATAAAAGCTACCATAAAATAACATATTGTAATGTTACAAATAATTTATTAAACATTAGGAAATATCTTGACGTTGCGCATGTAAAACTCCAAATAAATGCTATTGTAAAAAATATAAAAGTTTTAGGTATAATGTGCTGCCTAACAACCCCGGTGGCCTGTTAGGACAGCAACTGATTTTGTTAGGCAACACACCATACGAACACACATCTCGTTGCAAAACTTTACAGAATATTTTAATTTTATACTGAGCATTCAAGCATTTACTGAGGCATTTATTTACTTTGATTATTAAAAACTTGGAATCTGAAGCTTTCAACAGAAAATTAATTAGATCTTCTCGTTCAAAAATTTTGGATTTTTTTGGTTTATAACCTTTATTTTTTTGTTTGAGAAACGCTATTAACTTGTTGATTTTCGAAATATCAACGTTGTTTTTATATTTTAAGGTGCTTTTAAGCATAGAATAAATCGACCATAGGGTAAAAGCTTTGCAATTCTTCAATTCATCAGAGAAATATGCTAAAATAACGTTTTCCGAATATTTTGTCACCTTATTCTTCCTACACCATTCTATAAATGCATTGTATTTTTGCTGATAAATATATGCAGATTTTTCTGGCAATAAATTTTCAGTGGCCTTTTGTGCACTGCATAAGATATCTGGGAAAGTATTATCAAATTCGCTATCGCTAGATAAATTTAAATCCATATCGATTATGACAGATATAATAAACTGCAAATAAAATTTGAATTTAAGTAAACAAACATTAAAAAGTAAAACTTTTTACCTTCTCAAACTTGATTGAGTTTAAAAAAATGCTAAATTGTCTTTAGAATCTAATCTTGAACTTAAGTATACTTTTGTCGTGTTCTGTTATAAGGTAGGTACTAATTAAAAGTTTAGAGATTGACAGTTCTTCTAATCCACACAGCCACGGCCAACTTACTTTTACCAAAACCGACATCCACTGTATGTTTACTTTTAATTAAATCGATGACATTTAGAGAAATTTATAATTAAAATAAACTGTTGATAATTTGTTGGACACTAAATAGATATAAGCAAAAATAATTTATTTATTTGTCTTAGAAGGGATAGCAAAAAAATGTTAATATAAAATAAAACGTTATATTTTGTTGTTATGTACAAATTTTGTCAAATTTTACTTTTTTTAACTAGTGCGTAAAGAGTTTTACTTTACGCACTAGTAAAAAAAGTACAACTTTACACACTTCGTGGAGTGCGTAAAGTACGTACTTTACGCACGGTAGTAGAAAAAAAATATTAATTTACGAAATCATAAATTTTAATGAAAATCGCAGAAACAAGTTTTTAATTAACATTAAAAAATACACGTGCAAACATCAGAATAATGAAAAATTAAATTGTTATAAATTAAAAATAATACTGAAAAATGAAACTACAATGACATATCATCAAATAAATGTTTCTTCAACTTCATCAATTTCTTCTTCGTCATCGCTATCATTATCTTTGCAACACACGTTATCAGCGTCATCTTTCTCGTATCTATCATCAATATCATCTATGCTCTTTTCAACCTACAAAATATCAGATTCAGAGTTGTTATTATCTTCATCTGCGAATACACAAATGAACAAATTTAAAAAATGCAATTCTACCTTCGTTGAAGCTATATTTGAAACAAAGAAAATATTAACCTTCTCCTCGTTGACAAACGTAGGCAGCTGGTCACCATCAAACCATCGAAAATCGTATTGTCCATCCACCTCTTGCCATCCATTATCAACGGGTGATAAAATCGTTGGATACTTGGAATGAACGTTTCTCCAAATGTTTGAAATGTATGAAGCCCGTAAGATATGGTGGTGTAATTCTGCTTCACAAGATTGTATAGCAGAACCGTGAAATTTTTTGACGACTGGCTTGAAGAACTTCTCTGTATTGCAGTCTGCATATATTTTGGTGAATATAGCGAATCTTGCTTCGTTGACTTTTTGGCTCTCTTAAAACTAGGGTCACACTGTCGTTTGATGCTGTGAGGGCCGAGGCAGTTGTCCTTCAACAATGCCGCATAAAAAAGTGCTAATACTGTATATAGTCACGTTGTAATTAAGAGAGATAGGAATATAAGGTACCAGAGCCTAGGCAGCTGTTCTCAGGTAATCGCATTAGTTACCTAAATACGCACCTGCCTCTTCCTCTCCTTATTCAACTATATATTTATTTGTGAGTCTAGCGGTGTTTTCGCGATTGTAAATGACAGCCAGATGTATATTTTCTATAAAATTATACTATTATTTATCATGTGACAAATTTTTAAATCCAGGAAAATAAAAGCAAATATTTTGTATTTTTGACAATTTTCAAGATGCCGCCAGACTCATATAGCAATTTCGTAAATCAGCCAGACTTACTTTTGAGTATAGTTTAAAACAGTATCAAATGATACGTTAAATTTCAAGCGTGGGAAAATAAGGGTTACGGATTTCAAAAATCGGAAAAATTTTGGATCCGCAAATTTTCAGCCAGACTGACTTTTCTCCGGTTAGGATATGCCGGACTGTTAGTTCCATTAATAAAATGATTCACTTTAATAAATGTCAAACATTTATGACTAGGAAAATAAGTGAACTGGTCTTTTAATAATTGTCGTTTTGTGTCACCATCCGAACAATTTCACATTCACCTACTGCGAAAATAAGTATAAAAAAAAATTCACTGTCTCCTGGAATATGTTTTCTTATTTTTTTAAAATCAAGGGTAATAGTATATTATTTAACGAGCATTACCGCAAGTTGAATACTATACTTTATCTACGACTATAACAATAAATACTAAGATACAAGTATCGAGAAAGAATTATATAATTGACTACATGATTCATGATAAAAACGTTTGAATCTTTGTAAAATCTATTACCTTTGTCACCAGATATTTCTCATCAGGAGCTTTATTTATGAAATTATTAAGTTGTTCTGGCGTAAATGTTTTTAGGTATGTTTTTCTGATTGACATTTAAGAAACGCACGTAATTTTGAATAATTCTCTATATTAATTCCATTATTTACGTTGAGTGTGCTTCTTAGCAAGGAATCGAAAGTCCATAGAGACGATGCTTTATATTTATTGCTAAGTTCTTTAAAATATGCCAAAGATACATTTTCTGTAAACGAGTTACACCAATCTTGAAATTTTTAGTATATCTGCTATACTTGCTTTTTGATTTTTCTGGTAATAAATTCTGTATTGCATTATTAGCTCTCTTATTTCTGGAAGGGTACATAATAACTCATCTTCACTATCTAAATTCATCTTTTTTTAGCACTATTATTCGAAATTGAATTGAAAACGTCAAAATTATCTTGTTAAAACATCAAATGATATTACTCCCCTCAATGTAATAATTGACTGTTCCGCCTACTGAGAGTCGTTGACAATTTAATAATTTTAAAATCTTTTAAATATTATTCACTCTTTTCCAATTGTTAAAAAATCTTTCTAACCTTTTACGCCAAGAATTTACTGCGCACACTATTTATATACCGAATTATCGTAGGAGCCCAGCGTGAGTTATAATAACTCACTATTAAAACTCACGCTATTTGTTTATTGATACTATTAATTGCTCAAAAGCAGTTGAATAATTAATACATAAATTAATAGGAGTAGATAAAATAATTTGAAACGGTACCTTTAAGATGAAATAAAATGATCGGTTTTAATTTGAAATAATAAATTTATTAATTTTTAATAGTAAGACAACCTAAGCTAGACCTTTATCTTTAGTTTAGTCAAACATAAGATTTTTATTTACTAATGATAGGTTGTCCCATTTAAAGAGTCTAAGTTTCATATGTAACACTTTCTTGGAGAACCCTCTATAACTGAAATTATTTTTAAATTGCTGTCTTTTCAGATATACGTCTTGCTATAAAAATAGATTTAATACAATATCGATGGCTTAATTTTAACACCTCGTAACCCACAAAGAGTAATTTTTACAGTACAGGCAAAAAACTCTCTCCTAAACACTAAGGCCCAGCAGACTAACGATTTTTTATTTGGTATTATTATATCTTTACACTCCCACTATCAAACCTGTGCTAATTATTAGGCAGTTTATTTTACCCCCAGTTCTAGGACTATATCTATAAAATAATATACGAGTATTCAACAATTTAGAGCAACTTACCAATTGAATTAACTGTTCTTTGGGTATCAGCTTCTTCGTCATAAGGTTCGCATACCATAGCTGAAAGTTCATTATCTTGGAAAAAGTCCACACAGTAAGAGTCCAAATTATATAGAGCCATCCAGTCTGCATAATATAAAGTACCATTTTCTTGTATAAATATTTGATCACTTGAGTCAACGCGAAAAGAGTGTAAATTTTCTGGACAGTCATAACCGAATAACATCGTAAAATTATTTAAATTACCGTGGTATTTTTTTTCAGTCTCATGATAGACATCTAAACTAAAATTTACATTAGCAGAGTTTTCACAAAAATTATCGTCCTTGGTATCATTCATAAACGAATTTCGGCCACAGCACTTTCGAATACAATTTTTAATATTACACAAACATCCCTTCTTTTTTCCGCTATCTTCAATATAATAATTACTTTGATTATAAATTACACTGTCTAGTTTGAAGACATTATTTGAATGTACACTGGCATTTGAGAGGTCTATAGTTAACGGAGACGATGGCGAACAGGGTTGAGACTCTTGTGCAAAACATAATGAAAATAACAAACATAAAAATATTGAAGAGCGAGTTTCCATGTTGATATGTGGCACATCGGAAACAGAATAATATTTGAGATAACTATAATAGATACCTATTTACTTTTATCTTTATTTATTTGCCAATAGGAAATACAAAACCGTAATGAGTAAGTAGTGAATCAAACATTCTAACCAGCATTAATACGGTTTTTATTTTTTACTTTCCTATCTGTATTTAGATAAAGAAAGTATAGGAATCATGATTTTTTCGACTTCTGTGTGTGTGCGTGTGTGCCTGTGTGCGTGTGCGCGTGTGTGCGTGTGTGCGTGTGTGCGTGTGTGCGTGTGTGCGTGTGTGCGTGTGTGCGTGTGTGCGTGTGTGCGTGTGTGCGTGTGTTTGTGCGTGCGTGTCAGTGTGTGTAAGCACGCGCGCGCGCGTTTATCGGTAAATCACTATATGGCTATGTGCATTATTCATACAATAGTAGTGTGGCCATCCTGAATTGTGTTGCCATTTTTGGAACACCACAAGTCAAAAGCAGTTTTCTACACATTATGCTGATTCGAATGGTACCTACTTTATTACATTGGTGTCAGAAATGACGTTATAAGTCGTGCCAAAATGTGTGCTAATCGGTGAGATGAGAGCGAACATTGTGTGGTCAAAGTAGTTGATCAGCAAGTGCTGCCCTCTTTAACCTCTTCATTTGGCGAACTCTTTTACATGGATTATAACCTACCTTACGGAACAAGTGCAAATATTTAGAAGTTGTGAATACGTTATTTTATTATATGGTACAGCGCGATGTTGCCACTTCAGTAATTGCTTGTAACTATTGAATATTGAATAAGAAGTCTTTGCGTATTTGATTAATGTACGCGTCGCCCCAAACACTTTTACGTATTATACAGGGAACCGAGAGTCGAAAAGACGCTTCTAAAACATCGGACTCTGCATTCGAAGATATACTTTTAAAAAAATATGTACTATGTGGGGAATGTTCCTACGGATGCAAATTCAGAGGGCTCCGTTAAATTAACAAATGTAAAAAAGAATAAAAAAAATATTTTATTATTTTGATTTATCGTAAAAAAACAACAATTTTTTGTGTTTAACTCGCGATTGTGACGTCGTTTTTCATTATTTTTTTAAAATTCTTGCAACACTCGAAAGACGAATTATTCTAGATTTTAAGGTAATGTGAAAAAAAATATTATATACATACAGAATTTATCAAAACTGAGGTGAAAATTTCAGCATCGAGAAAATTTTTGAACGGTTAATCGATTTCAATGAGTCTTTTTTTTTTCTGGAAAGGGGGTACCTTAGGGGTGGTCCCATCCCAGATAGCACAGGACGTCTTAAGGACGTCCAATTCATGTCCATTTAACGTCTGTACGTCCGGGACCTATTATGGACGTTTTAAGTATGTCCAGTTTAGTAAATCCTCGGGACGTCAAGAAATAGATATCCGCAGAACGACAATTGTACGTGCTTTACTACATTTCCATGGATTCACATTTGCATTGTATTATTATTTGGTTATATTATATAAAAAACATATATAATAAGATAATATAAATAATTAATAAAGATGGCATTGTCCCAATATCCAATTAAATGAAGGCCAAATAGACAAAACCGAAGAAGATCGGTGGCAAGAAAGTGACATTGTTGACAAGTGACTTTTTATTTTTATTTATTTAGATATGATTCTGATTCAGATTCAAGCATTGAAGTGAAATATTCCCAGGGCTCAGGTTTTATTAAAAAAAGTGTTCAATGTTCATGATTCGATGGTATATACATATTATACGAGTACAAATTCTATCATTCCGCCATTTGTAACATTTTTATATTTGAGAAAGGTGGAAATTTTTCAAAGCTAAAAGGTTAGTGAATTTATAATGTCTAGCAAGGCAAACTGAAACAAACATGATTGCCGAAGGCAAATATGACCAAATCAAGATAAAAACTGACTGCTGTCAATCCAGGCATGGTTGAAAAGAGCAAAGTAGAGGAGTTTTCCAGTGAATACTACAAAGCTAAAAGGTTAGTGAATACATAATGTCTATACTCTGTTTTTAAACTAAGAGGAGCGATTTGAATTTAAGGTGGCAATTCTGTAGCCTTCTGATTGGTCAGATTACAGTCAGTTTCACACATTACTTTTTAGCATGAATATCAGCTAATAATTGATATTGTTGACAGTTCTGACATTTTATAATTTGATATCTCATTCATTACTTAGTTTTTTTACTATATTTCGTAAATAATAGTTCTTCAGTAAGCAATTGTATTGAAAATCTACAATTATGGATCCTTCTACACTGAGTACTATTAAAGGTAGCATTTCCTGAAAAGCCTTATAAGAAAGGGAAGACACCTTATTATTTTACATGCTGATTCTGAAGGTTTTGTAGAAATGCATTATTGGTTTTTGAAGGTAAAAAGATGGGAGATTACCATGAAGAGATAAATTCGGAAGTATTTTAGAAAAAAATAATTTTATTACTGATTTTTTAAAACTAAAAATTGATGAATTTCTAATCAAAATGATTAAAATGTAACTAAATATTCAAGCAAATTTTATTTATTAGAATAGAATACAACTATTTACAAAATTGTTATAACATTTAAAACACCATCTACTACTTTAGGGATAATCTTAATTTGGCACAATGAGTTAACATTATTTTCACAAAAAATATTTTAAAAATACTTAAAATTAATACATAGGTATGTATGAATAGTTCACTTTAAAAAATATATATTGACATGTAGTGTTATGAAAATGTTGGTTCCAGTTTTCAAAACAAATTCTGACTCATAGGCCTGTAAACTTTTGAATGCCTCTATTTGCTCTCTAGTGCATTAACCATGGGTTAACACTAAATAAGCCATAATATCCACATTACTCATAGAAGAGATCCCAGTTACTGTGTGATCCACTTGTCATTCACTGATTTACTTTTTATACCTATAACAAATATATCCTTAAAAATGTAAACAGATCTTTATATTTTATACTAACCTGGCTAAATCTGGATATTCCATTAACAATTTTCTTAAATATTTATTATGCATTTTAAAAAGATCATAGTTATTCTCAAAAAGTCGATTTCAAAAGCAAGAAAAAAGTATTTCTGACATCAATCAACAACCATATTGACTTTAATTTGACAGTGACATTTCGTTTTAGACACACATTTCAGATCAAAATAATGTAAAATTTGCGACCGTTGTCTGGGGCCAATTAAAAGATTACTTTTATGACATTTATTCGTTTCTTAACCGCTCATTGGCCGTTCACCGACCAAGGCCGATAAAGATAATTATTTCATAAATTTTGAACACGACTATATTTCGAAACTCGCTCTTAGTAACAAATCTAGTTACTTTTTCCTGTGTAAATGCGTCTTTTCAATTCGCTCCTCCTAGTTTAAAAACAGAGTTTAGCAGGGCAAACTTAAACGAACAGATTGGATTTTCATATTGATCTGCCTTTCATTTTGAATAAGCGATTAAATTATTTTCAGGTTTAACTGAGAAGGCAAATATGACCAAATCAAGAAAAAAAAAATAACTGCTGTCAATCCAGGCATGGTTGAAAAGAGCAAAGTAGAGGAGTTTTCCAGTGAATACTACAAAGCTAAAAGGTTAGTGAATTCATAATGTCTAGCAGGGCAAACTTAAACAAACATTAGATTTTCATATTGATCTGAATTTTGATTAAGCGATTAAATTATTTTCAGGTTCAACTGGGAAGGCAAATATGGTCAAATCAAAAAGAAAAAAAAAACAACTGCTCTCAATCCAGGCATGATTGAAAAGAGCAAAGTAGAGGAGAGACAGGATGAATTTGGCGAAAAAGTTTTAATAATTTCACTATTTATAGGTTATTTAATTCCAAATAAATTTTTTTGAAATTATTCATTATTTTCATTAATTTCCTTACATCCTATTATTCCCCATTTGAGCTTTTGAAAATGTCCATGGAATGTCCTTAAATGGACGTTCTTAAGACATCCTGATTATTAACAATGGACGTTCCAAATACGTCCATAAGACGTCCACGGCCGTGAAATGGACGTTTTAAGGATGTCCTGAATGTCCAAGCAGGACGTTTTTAGAACGTCCCTAAGACGTATTTGTGCTATCTGGGATATAAATTCGGTTTTTTAAAATACTTGTTACGTAGATTAAAAAAGTTTAATAATTTGGTGCTTTCTTGATGCGTCGTTTTATGATTTCACTTTGTATATGTTTAGGTACAGATTATTATTATTGCTGGCGGTTTATTTTAAATCATTAAAATATTATTTTGTTAATCCAAAAAAGGCAAACAAAAAAGCCATGACACATACAGTGTAATAATAAAAATTAGATATATAAATATAGTATTTTATGTACCAACGAACTAAACTTTCACTTTTAATCCCACCTTTTTGTCGTAAAAGACTCTTCTAAATTTTTACCAGTTACGTCCGTACCGGGTTTGAACTGAATATTTTTGAAGAAAAATATGATACGACACTGCTTGTTCTAAAAATCAAAATTATCTTTAAAATCCTTATTTATTTTGGAGCAAATTTGGTTTTTAGACGTACTTTCGTACGACGCATCCTTTTCGCATAAGAAAATAAAAACCAAAAAATTTTTTTTTAAACATATTGAAACTACTTTTGATATTTTGTGGAAATTTGATAGGAAAGCACCATGAGTGGAAACATTTTTTTGGGCGAAATTTCATAAAAATATGTAGAATAATAAGAAACTTATGATAAAATAGTTATTTTTTTCTTAAAACTATAACACCCTGTAACTCAAAAATTAAGAGGTTTATGACATTCGTTGATATTAACGTTTCTTCTTAAAATCAGGATTCACACCCTTAAGTATCGGCACTCAATTAATAAATACCCTGTATTAATTGATATTACCTTATTCGAACCAATTGTCTATTTTTTCGTTATATGTTATATGTTGGTTTTATTTTTTCCATCTTTCACAACTCTATATTAACTAAATCTATTTACTAAATTAAAATATAAAA